ATCACGGTTTTAATAACCAGATCACCATATACAAAGGTCGTATAGATGACATGTCCTTCTAAAGTAAATTTAATATCAATCATGTGTTCATCTGCATACAAAATAGATACTAGTGGATCATCCATATAAAACAAGGCTAAACCACCGCTACGACCACATGGATCAAGAGTGTAAACTCGATCATAACCAAAAGAAACTTGCACATCTTGCAAAAAAAGACCGATTGTTCTTTGTCTCTGATAAAAATAGAAATCTAGGTAGAAAACAATTATATAACTCGTGGAGGTGTTCCTTTGACAGTTTCATATATAACATACATAGACAATTTTCTCTTTTTCTTACAAATTTAATCTAAAATAATTTATCAGTTTTACAGTAAACATTGAATTATTTTGTTAATGAAAAGCATTAAATATGTTTTTTTATCTAAAGTTACATTTATTTTTACTTTAAATCAAATGATATTATATTATATTATATATAACTTGTATATTATTATATGTATAATATATCTATTTTCTTAAAAAAGTTTATTTCTTAAATACCTAAAATAATTTATGATACAAATCCGGGCATTGATGACACAGTTTCCTTAAATACATAATTGTGATAAGTATGATATGTTTGGTTATTGATGTAAGTTAGTGCTTGATTTAGTTTCTTAAAGTTAATTAAATAAATGAAAAATAAAAAAACTAACAATCAATCAAATTTAAATAATTAAATGGAGAGATATTCTATGAATGACACATCAACTTAAATCATTTAAGTGACTTAATTAATATAGGATGAGGATGAGGATGTGATTATGTTATTCTTTTTTTTTATAACACTTGAACATGTAGTACTAATCTTTGTGATACAAAGCAAAAATTCAGAAATTAAATTGGATGTCAATAGACACCACACAAACAAAGAGAAAGAAAGAAAATCTCACCCACTCTCATTATTGCCGAGTTTCCATAGTGAGTAAATGCTGAAGTCAAGCCGGTGCATCTCGGGCGTCGTATGATTGGGATTGTCCATTCCGGGTGAAACAAACCTCATTGCTGAGCCTCCAAATCGAGTAGATGATGAAGCCACACCGGAGCGTTACGGGCGATGTAGGATTGATGACGAAGATCGCGCGTGACGCTCAAATCAATTGCCGCTGCAGCTTCATTGCGTTCAGGAAGGGCATGATCCAAACTCCATGAATCAATCCTTGCAAGGAGGAAGAAAATGCTGTGACGAATATGGCTGAGGCTAAGATAATTCGTCGAGGTAAGAGCATCATGTAGGGTTGCAGAGGCAGTCTCGAAAATAATCTTCGAGAAATGTAGAGTATGCAAACACTCGACTGCCCAAAAGAGAGCCCACAAATCTGCCTCTGTCTTTGAGCGCATACATGAGTAAGCACGACGGCTATGTAAGATTGTGGACCCTTTTTCATCCCGAAGGATCCAAGAAGCACCCGCATTATGGCTTGAATGCACCCACGAAGATCCAACATTACATTTGAGGAAACCCATAGGTGGTTTTTTCCATTTAATGGTTTCCGAAGCAACCTCATTACCTCCATCCTTCCTATCAGTGAAAGTATCAAACCATGTGGATTCTTCCTCATAAGCTTTACTAGCAATGAAAGATGCTTCTAACCTCTTAGACTCAAAGACGAAAGCGTTTCTAGCTTTCCAAATTTCCCATAACAACCATGGGAAAACGTTCCTTGTATGAATATCCGTAGAGGGGCTCTTGTGAATCTTGATCAAGTGCACAAAATTTAAAAAAGTGGAATTCCGAGAAAAACCTCCTAATGGTACTGGAAAATTGGAAAGCTCCCATGTTTCTCGTGCTTTATCACATGTAAAGAGAACATGACAGATACTTTCCGAACCATTACCACAAACAGAACAAGTTGGATCAATCGGAATTCCCCGAGTAGTCAAGCGTTGCTTAACTGCTAAAGCACCAGATAATGCCCGCCACATAAAATGTTTTCTTTTTGGGGGAGCTTTAGTTTTCCACATATCTCTCCACAATTGCCTTTCAACCGGAGAGAGTGTTTGTCCTTGAGGTTGCTCAAAATCCACCAACGCCTCTAACAACTTGTACCCACTACGAGTGGAGTAACAACCATTCGTTGTAAAGCCCCATCTAATAGAATCATCATTTATCATTGATGGCTTAAGAAGAAGAATCCTTTGCACATCTTGTGGTGTAAAAGTTTGTTGTAACAAGTTGATATTCCATTGATTTGATCCCTGAACGATCAATTCCGATACTTTAAGTGCTAAGTTTATCGAGGTATTCTCACGGTACATTGGAGGCCGTGGAATTGTGTCGATAATCCAATTTTCTGCCCAAACATTTATATCAGCCCCATTTTCAATATGACGATACAACCCCTTTTTGAGCAATTCTCTACCGTGCATGATACTCCTCATGCATATGACGGTCTTGTCCCCATTCCACACTCAAGAAAATTTCCAGTTTTGAAATATTTACCCTTTAGCACTCGAGAAACTAAAGATTCTGGATTGTTCCAAATGCGCCAAGCTTGTTTACCTAGCAAAGCCTGATTAAAACGCCCAATATCGTGGAACCCAAGACCTCCCTGTTCTTTTGGTTTACATAGCTTTTCCCATGCAACCCATGGAATTTTTCGCTTCTTATCCCCACTACTCCACCAAAACTCTATAATCGCACTCGGAATTCTTTCACAAAGACCTTTTGGTAAACGAAAAACAGACATAGCATATATTGGGAGGGATAGTGCTACTGATTTTATTAAAACTTCCTTAGCTCCCATCGATAGCGTTTTCGAATACCACCCATGTAACCTTCCTTCCAATTTTTCTTTGATAAAATTTAAAAGGTCTTTTTTTGAACCTTGAAAGCACTCAGGTAATCCCAGATATGTGCCCTCGCCGCCCTCTTTCTCAATACCCAAGACACCCTTAATAGCCTGTTTGATATCCGCATCAATTTTTTTCCCAAAAATGATAGATGACTTTAATGGATTAATCATTTGCCCAGACGCATCACCATAAAGTTTGAGACCTTTTAAAATTTCTTCACTATCCCTGACCGATGCTTCACACAATAACAAATTATCATCTGCAAAAAGCAGGTGATGAATAGAAGGACTACTCGACGCTAATTTTATACCATGTAAATTCCCTTTTTCTTCAGACCTGTTTAATACATGGACTAAAGCTTCAGCACATAAAATAAAAAGAAAAGGTGATAGAGGGTCACACTGACGTAAACCTCTTTCCGGTTTAATAAATCCATGAGAGCGTCCATTGAGTAATACTGAGAAAGTAACAGTCGAAATACATGACATTATCCAAGCGACCCATTTATGATCAAATCCAATTTTCTCTAATAAAACTTCAAGAAAATTCCATTCTACCCGGTCATATGCTTTTGACATATCAGTCTTAATAGCCATACTCTCTTTACCAATTTTTTCATTTGTACGCAGCCCATGAACCAATTCATGTGCTATAATGATATTATCCGTGATCAACCTGTCTCCGACAAAAGCCCCTTGAGTCTCGGATATTATATTAGGCAACACCACCTTCATACGGTCGCATAAAATGCGAGAAATAATTTTATATTGAACACTGCAAAGACTAATGGGCCGCATATCCTTCATCTCCGTAGGATGTAAAATTTTTGGTAGCAAAAAAAGCTGAGTGTGATTCCATCCTGCCGGAAGCACGGCTGTTTTGAAGAATCCTTGAACATCATCAATAATTTTCTGACCCACAATGTGCCAATATTTTTGATAGAAGAAACCAGTCAAACCATCTTTGCCAGGGGCACTACTACTTTTAATACCAAATGCTGCACTCTTGATTTCATCATGGGAAACCTCTCTAGTTAATAGTGAGTTCATCTCTAATGTAACCCTACTTTGAAACCCATCGAACAAAGTTTCCAAATCACTTGGATTTGAACTTGTAAACAGCTCTCTGAAATATTCAGTAGCAATATGTCCTCTAGAACCTTCTGAATAATTCTCATTCCCGAAAATATCTTTCAGCATTAAAATTTTATTTCTCATTTTTTTCCCTTTCACCACATTATGGAAATATGTTGTATTTCTATCTCCTTCCCTTAACCATTCTTCTCTACTCTTTTGCCTCCAAAAGATCTCCTCTTCCCTATAAGCCGTAGCCAAGTCGTTTCTCAAACGCCTGAGCAAACCATAAATTGGGAATTGCTTGGAGCTTTCTCTATCCAAATCTCTCTGTAACCATTCTATTCTCGTTTTTGAATTCCAATCGGAAGTCTTTTTAAGCTTAGATAATTCCGACCTGCACCGAGCTATACGATCCAAAACGCTAAGATTTGAGTCAATATTCTCAACGTCCCATCCACGTACAATGGCTTCTTCTACCCCTCTTTTACCATGCATACGTCTATCAAAATAAAACCGCCCCCTTTGTAAATTCTCAGGTTCAAGGACGAAATCTAACCGTAAAGGTCGATGATCCGATGGCCACATACTCATATAATCAGTAGAAGACTGCGGAAAAAGGTAAAACCATTCATCATTGCCAAAAGTCCGATCTAAATGGCACTGTACCCAATGATGATCCCGCATACCTGCCCATGAAAGGGTATTTCCCATGGTCCTCGTTTCCCTAATTTTACATGTTTCCGCCATATTCCGGAAATCAAAAAACGTGGTTTCCTCTCTAATGGCTCCTCCCAATTTTTCCCCATTATGCATAAGTTCATTAAAATCACCAATCAAGACCCACGCCTCATCTTTAACCACTCTAATATCCATTAAATTATCCCAAACATAACGTCTTCTACTTCTTACTGGATCCCCATATACACATGAAAGGTAAAAAACAGTGGACCCATGTATGTGTTATTCTATTATTCAATAATGTTATTCTAGTCAAGCTTATTACCAATTAGTTTGCTATTCTAGTCACATGTATGAGTGTTTTTTTTTCGGAGAAGATTTATTCTCAGCTTTGAAGCCGTGGGAGATGGAAGGAGGAGAAGGCTATTTATTCGGTGGTGTGATGTCCCTGATTATGGGGTTAGTGACGGTGGTGAGGCTAACAATGAACATATTGAGGAAGCTCAGTGAGGCAGTGAAAGAAGAGACCGTGATGGTCTCCAGGCACGAGTATATGTTGATGGAAAAGAGACTGGCGGAGCTGGAGGAGAAATGTAGATCGTTGGCATTCTCCCCGGAGAAAGAAGAGAACCTCACGGCCGCTCTAAACCGCGTGGACGAGCTTGAGCTTCAGTTGTCTGAGATGAAGAAGGTATAATAACCAAACTCTTTTACTTTTAAGTTTTAAGTAAAGTGATTTTGTTGGCAGTATTGTTGTTTTTATGTGGGTGTTAGATAACGTGTTGCAAGTAACGTATGATGTAAGCCAATTTAATTATTTTTTGTTTGGTTTTGAAATATAAGACGCTGCACGAAACCATGGCTAGGCAGCAAGAGATAGTGGCTTGCATCGAAAAGATGAAAAAGAAGAAGAAAAAGGTAAAACAAACAACACATTTCGAAACAATCTTTCTTAAAGATTAATCAGACTTGAGTTTTAAGTATACATATTTTTTGTTTGTTTTCAGTTCTGGGGATTCTGAAAGATAGGATAATGCATCAAGAAAATGAAGAAGCTATAGAGATTAGAATGTATTGTCTGTAAAAACAGACCTGAAACCTTATGATTCCTTCACACCTGATTTGTAAGGTACTAAGACAAGATATAATCTTATATATAAAAACTAATCTTATATGTATAAGATAATGTTTTTACATAGAGTTATATACTTATAGCTCAATAATGTTGTAAAACAACCAAGTTTATCTGCAATAAACCGGTGCAAGTGAGGAGAAATAGTTTTGGGGGTTTGGTTACTCTGTGGTTGGTTTCAGAGTGGGTTCTTCTTGTTGACTATCTTGAAGCTTGAAAACGCGGAAAATTGCTAGATTTGTATCTCCTGCGCCAATCATAAAACATAAAAGAGTGAATTCTCTCATCAAAGAGGATCCTACTACTACAGAGAATGGTGCTTACCAAAGGTGATACGTGTTCCAGGAAAGGCAGGAGCAGCAACACCAGGAATCAGACGTTTGTCTTCGATGAATGTACCATTGGTGCTGTTCATATCCGTCACAAGAAGGTTGTCTCCTTGTGTATCTATTGTCGCATGTACTCCCGAAACTGCAGCGCACAAAGAGTTAGAACTTGAACTGATACCATGTTAAAACTCACTTCACTTGGTAGATTACAAAGTCCAAACACCCCTCAACAAGATAAAGAAAATACCGGTGGCCACAGGAATCACAACGTCAGCCTTTTCCGGTAGCCGTCCGACTGTGACTTGACCCTGGCCCAGTTTGAATGAGCTTTTATAAACGATGCATGAAAGATATATACACTAGTCCATTCAACTATAGGGTTTTGTTTTCTTACAGAAGAGATCTCGAAAGGAGCAGGCATTTCCACTTTGTAACCAATGTGTCTTGTGTCTCCATCCCCTGTTAAGTAAGTTTTTACACAATATGGAGTGAATCAAACACATAGAAAGATTGTGAAACTTGTATAGCTGCTTTTGCTTTGTTACCAACTGGTTGGAGAAGCCACCGTTCTCCTTTGGTGGTAGAAGCTGGGGGTTGATTCTCATCCACCACGGAGGCGCGTGTTGTTGATCTTCTCACCACCACTCCATGGCTTCTGTGTTTCTTCTTGGAAGTGAAGCTAATGCTACTCAACTGTTTGATCTCTTTCAAGCAATTGACTGATACAGCTCCTGTTTGGTTCCTCTTACTGTTTCCTTTTAAACATAAGAGTGATGATGATGATGAAAAGATTGAGAACTTAACCCGTGAACACAACTGGGATGTTGTTGTTGTTATCTCCATTTCTTTTATTTTGCTCAGCTACTTGATAAACAAAAGATTCTTCTTCTTGCTGATCGATCTTCCAAGAAAAAGACACAAATTAAAAAAAAGAAAAAAAAAAACCTTTGAAGAAAAGCATTAAAGAGATAAATGACAGGATATGGATCTGTGGTCATCATATAACCCAACTGGATAACAAAATCCATATAAAATCCATAATTTTTAATATATATTTTCAGTAAGTTTACAAATTTCACATGGCCGGTTATAAAAGATAAAAACATATATATAACGCGTGGAAGTCACAAAAGAAAGAGCTCTCTGTATTAGCTTCAAACATCAAATCAGACAAATGAGTTTTCTGTTTCTCAGGTGATCGTGCAAACTAAGAACGTGGGTGTAAAGGAGAAAGTAAAGAGTTTGATTGATGCCTGGTGCAGTAAGGCTTTGCTCTAAAAGCAAAAGAGATGCTTCTTCTTCTTCATCTTCTGGAATTGAGCTTCTTCTTGACGGTCAATGTAAGCAAGCAACTCTTCTTGTCTCATCAGAGCTTCGTAAAGAGCTTTCTTAGTAGCTATGAGCTCTGCTTCAAGTGCGTCTACTCTGCACACAGCTGCGTTTAGTAGTTCCTCTTTCTCGTATGGCATCTCATTAGGCTTTGTTTGGAGCGTCCCGATTTTTCCCTCTAGCTCGGTTAGTTTCTTCATCACAGAAGTTAGGAGCTCTGCTTCTGTGAGATTTGGTACAGGGGAAGGAGGTCGAGACTCCTCTTTAGTTGTTGCTACTACTTCACCGTTAGTACCGAGTTCTGTTGCGTTTCCTTCGGTTTGTGGCTGGGAAGCAGGAAGTTTCTTGATCACACGGAAAGGTACTGTGCGGAAGAATGTGAAAATCGTCATCACAAGTGCTATGAACATTATAAGGACTCGAGCTCGGATGCCTTCAGGGTGGTCCTTTGGAACGGTGGGAGACATTAAATCCCCTAAAGGAGACAAAATTGATAGATTCAGTTCACCATAGAAGGTAGATGTGTTTTTGACAATAGTTTCATAAAAAAAGTATATAACAGCTAACTAACCTTTTGAGGCCACTCTCTGGATGGCGGGTTTCACATTCCAGGTTGCATCAACGGCTTTGTCAACCATTGGTACATACTCATCATAGCCCAGAAGACCACCGGCCAAGCTTGTTTCACCCACTATCTTTGCCTGTAAAGTCTCAGGAGAAGATACTATAAGCACACACTCCTTCACAGATACAACCATAGAGAATCTGAGATGCAATTAGAACATAGAAGATTTACCTCTTCACGAACAGGTGTCAAGCGGAGATGAGAGAAACTCTTTATAGCCTTTGGAGATCCGATATCTTCGGCATCAGATCCTGACTCTGCAGTGGAAGTGTCACTGCCCTTTATCTGCGTTTATGATACAAGAGTTTAGTTATATTGCTACAAGTTCAAGATTGACTAGTTCTAAGATTCAAAAGCTACATACCCATGGATATGATGGTTTTGCGTAAGCAATGACTTTCCCCTCACTGTTCAAAACTTTCACCACCTGCTTCGCCCTATGTGCTCCCCCATGAAGCACCATCTGAAATTAAGTGAATATAACAAGCTGTGTTAGCTTCAGAACTGGTGCTATGTATAGGCACAAAAAGACAAGGGTCAATCAAATGACCTTCACAATTTCTGGGTTTTTCCAAGGTCCCTTGTCAGAAAGCATGCAACCACCTTGATCCGCGCAAGTACATGCGCCTCCCAAGAACTCAGGCAACTCGCTGTAAAACAGAGCAGGTTCCCTATAAGACTCTAACAAAGAATCCAGAGGAGTAAAAAGTATCAGAAAGTTAAGCTAACATACTTGACATCAATCACTTCAAGCAATTTGGTCTGGTACTTGTATCCAAGGACCTGCATTACAATGGACCAAAGTGAGTTCTATATAGCTGACCAGAAGTATTTAAATAGAGACATAACCAGATAACTTAAATGATCGTACATGAATTTTAGAAGATGTTTTGGGGTCTATAAAGCCCTTCACAGTATTCCAGAGCAGCCTAAATCCAGGCCCTGCATTGACGATAAACATTTGGTGGAGCGTCTGCATGAATTAACACACAGACAAGATTAGCAAATGATGAAAGATTCTTTCAAAAGAGGGCACTAACAACTAGAAGTTCCAGTTTGAAAATTACCTCAGGATAATTGTCCCCATCGATCTTTTGTAATCGTGTGATAAGCTCCCGAGCAGACTTGGTAAAGTTTTTCAATCCCTGGATAAAAAATTATATAAAGGCATGAGAAACTCATTTCACAACCCCATTGATACTATATCTGAAAAAAAACATCAAGAGATTTATAGGAACTTACCACTCCCTGAACATCTAGAATAGTTGTGTTGGAGTCAATATGTTTCTTTGCAGCAATAGTGCAAGAAGGAAACTTGATCATAAAGCTCCTCTCAAACTCCTTTACATGATATCTTACATACCGATCCATGCTAGTAACTTGCATGAGTCTGTTAGGATCAACTTTCCCCAGCCTTTCAATGTAAATGGGCCTGCCTTCTTTATCAACACCGTGATAACCGTGTGGGTAATACTTCAAAACTTCGTTAATCTCTTCGAAATCAAAATCCTGTTGAAACAAATAAAAGGTCAGGAAAAACAGAAAACAAGGGTTTTGCCTTATCTATCTTCTGTTTAAAACATGAATTACCTGAAGAATAGTGTCAGTGCCAAACTCTTTCCTCCACTGAATCATATCAGACCACATATGTTTTGCTTTCTCAATGTCAAACTTCCTCGCCTTCAAGAACCTCAACATCATGTGATAGTCATCATGCCTACTAGGAAGCAGCTCGTCAATCAACAACGCATGTCGAAACGCATCAACGGCCTGTAACTCCTCGACATCCCTGACATCCTCGATGGAGACAGAACTCACCCGGCCATCACTCTTTCTCCTCCCGCTCTTCTTCTTGAGAGAGTGCTTGAACTTGGTGGATGCATTAATGGCCTTCTTCTTCAAAGAACCGATCCTGGTTCTCCTCTCATCCTCAGAGTTCTCAAAGTCAGACTTCCGTTCCTTTTTCTCATCACTGCTCAAGAATCCCTCGAAACCTGTAGTGAAAGCTGATAAAACCCATTAAAATTGGCTATTGACTTAACATTGAAGAAGCGACATTACTTAACAGCTACAAGCTTCAGCCTGAAAAAAAAATCTAATTAAAGTCACAAGAAAAAGAGACGACCTTTATAGACAATTATATCCCCATTTTATCTAAACAATCCTCAAGCTTCTTTAATCTAAGAGTTTTAAGCTACATTTAATAGTCTAATGAACTACTACTACATTAGGTCAAACAATTAAACCCTAGAACAAAGCTTTCACCCTATAAAAACCCTAAATTGAACGCACCAAAGAGCAAAAGAGACGAGCTTTATCGAGAAACACGATTCCAATTGAACAGATAAAGAAGCTAATTAAGTAAACCCTAGAACAGAACAGAACTTTTCTCAGATGAGATCTCTTACATGGTCTTGCGAATCGATCAAGTGGACCTGACATCTTTAGATTCCTCCGATCTCTCTGTCTTTCCCCCAAATCTTTCGAAAAGGTTTTGGCTGATTGGTTCAGGAATCAATGCACCAGCAAAAGAAAAAAAAGAAGGTTTCTCGAGCGGATCTAATCTTTCTACTCTCTCACATTCACAGAGGGCAATAAAAAAAAGAGAGAGAGCTAAAAATAAATAAAATTGAGAGACAAAAGAGGAGTTGAATTCGGAACCAACTATGGACTTTCTCACTTTCTCTTCTCTTCTCTCTCTCTCACCTATAATGCCTCTACTTTGATTTTTTATTTTTTAAATATTTATTTACTCGTTATTATAATTAATACCCCAGCTGTTACATTCTTTTCCCATTGTGTGCCCCACACTTTTTTGTATTTCAATCTAACCCCAAATTGACGGGTCGGTGGTATTTCGTGAACATTTTTAATACTATTGCAAATTATTTACATATTCCGACTTATTTTTTTATCAAACTTGTAATATTTTACTAGTATATAAGTTTTTTTATTCATTTTTACCAAGTATTGGGTTTTAAGCATATTCTTGTTCCTTTTTTTTCTAAACATTATTTAAGAAAATATTTGTCATATCTCATCACAACAATCACTCTCATTAATAAAATGACATGACATATTAAAAAATAGACATGATTTAGAACAAAATATGATACGATCAATTATACTTAATATTAATTTTAATTTAATAAAATTATAATATAAAAATAATTCATACATCATCACTAAAATAAATATATTTAAATATAATAATAAATAATATAATAATAAAAAGATAGTAATTTTTTCATAATTTCGAAATATTATTTTCGTTTATTTTTATAGTCATATAATTTTATTACAAAACAAGATTTTTAAAATTTTATACAATCTTCTTTAAAATTATATTTTTTAAATGAATACTATTTGTTTCCTTTTGATATCTACAAATATTAGAAATTTTGTTTAGTTTTATTTTTTGATAATTATATAATTTTATATTATTTTTGAATTATATATTAGATATTTTAACCAAAATACATAGATGCAAATCTATCTAACACTATGGTTTTAAATATATACATATAAATAATAATTTAACTACTAAATTTTTAACGCAAATAAATAAATGAAAATCTACCAAAAGAAACTATACAGAAATCTAAGTTAGAAAATTGATAAACTAGTAAAATTTTAATTTATAAAATTTGACATATCGCATCTGATTAAAAGTTTATTATATAACTTTGATCTTATATTTCTCGCCAAGAATTAGTTTTCGTTCAAATATACAAAAGTAAAGCCTTTTTCAAAAAAATAATATACAAATTAGGCATAATGTTGGGGGTGTATCTGGACTTAATATAAACAATAAGGAGAAAGCGGAGAGATCATTGCTTTTGTCATAAACCGAGGCAAATTCAACGGTCATTAATGGCCATAGGTACAATTTTAACGGATCTACGGTCAACAGACCTGCAAACCTATATATGCTCAGTGGTGCAGGTTAAAATAATTATTTTTTAAACCAAACGCCGACAAAATGACGACAACATAGGGGGATGAAGAAAATATATTCTTTGCATTATGACCCCACTTAATTTTGGATCAATTGTAAACTACCAAAACATAATTTGGAATTATTTCTGAGTTTTATAGCTTACATTGATATTTTTATTTTTTTTTCCTGGAAAGTTCATCTAGTTTATCTTGTTGTTGATGCTCTAAGACTGAGTATAAAACGTATTTGAATAAGGGAGAACTTTGTTTTAATTTTTTTTAGATCATATAATCAAATTATGATTTGACATTTGTGATTTACTTATTTCTAAGTTCCATCATTCTCTTCATAGAAAAATTTACAATATGTTCTATTGTAACAATCCAAAACTCTGTTTGACTGATTTTAACATCTCGTACATGGATTGGTTTATGTGAGAGCATTAGACTTTTCTTTCCTTCTATTTGGTCAGCTTTGACAATTAGAAGATGAGGTGCAGGAAAATGTGAATTGTTAAATAATAAGGGGCCAAAGTGAAATCTCATTGGTTACCTCATACAATGGACCCACATAACACATGGTAGATAGAGGAGGATTGATATAAAGAAAAGAAGAAAATACAACTTCATGTAAACTACGGAGCAATTAAAGGAATTGTCAGCGGTCGTTAGGCCTTCTCATCTTTGTTTTGAAATATTTATTATTTAATCGCTTACTTTCACGAAATGTATTTTCTTTTCTAGAATTAGGCAAAAGAATGAGAAAAAGAAAGAAATGTTAGAAGGTTCATTAATTGAATCTAACAGCACGAATATTGACTTTCAGTTGATGCAATGATCAGTCGAATTATGATTGGCGATGTACCTTCTGGGGAATTTTTAACCAATCATTGCAATTTCAACAAAACAACTCTTTTAATTAATAAAATAACGTTTAGATTGATAAATTTCAAAAGAATAATCAGAAGATGGTACGCATTGATATTGTGATTTACAATGACGATATATACATTTTAGATTCAAGTTAAAAACTGATTTCCATCTTAGATTAGTCCTAATAATTACAATTAGTTTAAGTTAACAAAAAAGATCAATATTATACCACAATTTTGGTCAGAAGAGAGAAGACAGGATCAATCAGTCCAGCCCAAGTGAATAGTTTTAGCAAAACATGCTAATTAATTAACAGAATAATAAAAGAGAATAATATAATGGAAAAACTAGATTTTAATCCGCGTCTAAAAGCGCGGGTTATTTTTCGGTTGATAAAAAATTATGATATGAATTAATATTTTAGTCTTGTTACATTATTATATTACAAAATCGTATTATATCAAAAAATAAAACTATTATTTTTATTCAGTTTAATGTAATTATATTTTTAATTGTTTGATTATTATTAGTTTTAAAGAAAAATTATATGGTTTGATCAGACTCAGCATGCCTATTATTCTAAAATAAATAATTTTAAATTAGATGAAAACAATATTTTTATATCAAGTTCGGATCTGTGGTAGAACCGGTAAACACGATAACTTGTACATAAGCTGGTTTACATTTAATGAAAACTTGTTAATTTAAAGCATGCAAACTTTGAAAAAATCCGCAATCAAGTGTGACCCGACATTTGGTTGACCTGTTAAAATAAAAATAAAATAATCTTCAATATCCGCAATCAAGTGTGACCCGACATTTGGTTGACCTGTTAAAATAAAAATAAAATAATCTTCAATATTTAAAGGATGAATGAAATTTCTAATATATTTTTAAATTAATGAATTTTTATTAACTTAAGTGTTTAAAATTTATATTTATTTAGTTCTTTTATGAAATATTTGGTTTGATATATGATATTTTGCAATTCTAGTAAGATTATATATGCATTCTATAAAAGTCTGTGAAGATTATATATACACTGTATGTATATTATTCAAATTTCATCATCAATTTTCATTAATAATAATTAGGTGTACATGATATGAGTTTGTAGCTGGTAAAATAGGTTAGCACTTATCAATGTAAATTGCACAAAATGTTTATGTTGTTGGATTGTAGCGGAAGTCGCTACATGGATTGTAGTTGTTGAATATTGTAAAATACATCATATTTTTTAAAATAAAACATAATTAATAATTTTTATTATGTTGATATATTTATAATCAATCATATAAATCGAAGATCCACGACAATAGTCGGTTTGACTTTCTCCAAGCTAAATCATCACAGTAATAGAAAATTGAAAATAAACACAAACAACAATATGTTCAAGTTTCAAGTTTAACAATTACGAGTAAACTTTGCTCAATTTTTTGTAGTAAATGTTTGAAGTATTCACTAAAATCCACTTAAGCTAGCATAAAATGTTACCACTAAATTACAATTCTCAATAAATCTTTTCATTAACTCACACATCTCAACATAAACGTTTTGTGCCATTTACATGCATTGTAATTTCTAAGAGGTTGTTGGATTCTATATGAGTTTGTAGCTGGTAAAATAGTTTCTAAGAGGTTGTTGGATTGTAGCGGAAGTCGCTAATTTTTTATATCCATGTAAATGGCACAAAACATTTATGTTGAGATGTGTGAGTTAATGAAAAGATTTATTGAGAATTGTAATTTAGTGGTAACATTTTATGCTAGCTTAAGTGGATTTTAGTGAATACTTCAAACATTTACTACAAAAAATTGAGCAAAGTTTACTCGTAATTGTTAAACTTGAAACTTGAACATATTGTTGTTTGTGTTTATTTTCAATTTTCTATTACCGTGATGATTTAGCTTGGAGAAAGTCAAACCGACTATTGTCGTGGATCTTCGATTTATATGATTGATTATAAATATATCAACATAATAAAATTATTAATTATGTTTTATTTTTAAAAATATGATGTATTTTCTAGTTTATGATGTAAATTTGTGTACTTTTCAATTTTCTCCACACATGTAAATCTGAAAAGAATATTAATAACATTATATATATATATATTAAATTACATATTTAAATATAAATATTATTAAAAGTAGATATTTGAATGAGGTGATATATATGAAGATGATATGATATTTATTATTGAGTTTATCTATCTTCTGTAATTTTAAAATATTAAAAATATAAATATATCAGTATAACTAAATTAATTAAATTTTTTGAAAAATACTGAGTTGTTAATTTTTTATTTAATAAAAATTAATTTTGTTATTTGATAACAAAAGTGATTTTTAACACAAACTGATTTGTTAATTTTGTCATTTAATAACAAATTAATTTTGTTATTTAATAAAAATATGTATGAATTTTTTTATGATAATAAAAAGTATAACTGATTTTTGCGAAAGACATAATTTATTACAAAGAAATAAACAACCGACGATTCAAGAAAAATGATCTCGAGAAGAAACTCACTTTCGGCATACGGATACATCGGTGCAATGAACATGAGAAATCCATAAACCAAATTAAAAATACTTTTCCAAGTGCCACGAACCTGTAAGTATCACTAC